AATAATCATGTTAATGTACCCATTCCTTAATTAACTCAAAATTTTTTGTTTGTTTGTATGTTGTTTAACGTCCCTCTCGAGAATTTTTCACTCATATGGAGACGCCACCACTTGCCGGTGGAGAGCTGCAAATTTTGTCCTATGCTCGGTACTTACGGCCATTGAGCAGTGAGGGATCTTTATCGTGCCAGCACCTACTGCGACACGGGACCTCGGTTTATACGGTCTCATACGAAGGACCGGTCTCCACGTCCCACAATGGGATTCGAACCCGCGACGTAAGGATCAACTCCTTACTTCGCGACTCTAGAGCAGACGCTCTAACCACTGCGACACGCGGGCGACAACTCCAAATGAATCATTAGATGTTTCACAAAAAAGAACGTGAAATTACCAGCAGTGAAGCTCATTTGTTTATGTAGGTAAAATATTGTCTCTCAATCTCATAATTGCCATCTATTTGTAGTAAATCAATCTAGCGACTAGAACAAAAATTTCAAGTTTTCTTTTTATTTTGGGTTTTGTGAAAAGGACAATATAAAACAAGATAACATTCTTCTTACTCTTACAAATTTACAATTTAACTTCTGAATCTAAAAATTCCATTAAAACATAATTATAGTCTTAATTAAGAACTCGACAAATGAGAAAGCAAAAATCAAATCTCAATTATTAAAATGTGTTTTTTGATTTATCAGCTAAAATTTATATACATTAAGGGGGCTGGGGGGTTGTGGCCATTTTCAGACTATATTGATCTCCTTTAGAAGAAGAGCTCCATATAGAGATATACAAAAATGATCAAATTTAAAAAAAAAATGTATGAAATTTTTCTTTGCCAAATAATAGTTGACAGTTTAAGATATCATATCTAAAAAATTAAGTTATATCTGATGGTTAATTTGTTGACCCCCCAGCCTCCTTAATTATAAATTTTAAGAATGTGCTAAGATCTAATATCCATTTAAAAAAAATTGCTGCGAAATTGCATTAAAACAAAATACAAAAGGGGGCAAGCATGACCACTTCCCAAAACAGTATCAGTTTTTCCTTTGAAATGGGTCAATTACTCAAAATTTTTGAAAGTTATATTCAAAGAATGCGTAAAATTATATACTTTGTAGTTTCGAAAAGCATTAAAAAGACCCTTCTGTTTTCTGAAAAACATTTATAAAATATCTTTCCTAGAAATATTTGAAGTCCAATTATTCAGTGACCATATCAAAACAAGAGATAAGTGACAATATCTGATGTAAGTTGCGTGGTTAAGAAATCGACGTGTCACTCTAAAGTACACTGTAGATATTCGGAGTTTTTACGCTTTGGTTCAATCCCAAGAGAAACTGCAAGTTATTAACTTTTTTAAAAATAGAATGATTTTGACAAATTTTGACAGTATGATATAGTTTAATATACGAGGGTTGTCCCAAAACGCCGTAGACTGGGTATACAATTTAGTTTCCCTTTGCCAACACGGTTTTCTTTTCTTGTCATAGTAAAAAGCAACATTCAATAATCATACACATAATAATAAAATCATATTTAATAAGAAAATGGCATAAATAACGAAAGTATATAAATGTAAGTCGGTGCATGAAAGCAAACGTAATTTACATCTCTTATAAAGTCTTGATAATTCTTTTTTAAAATATTGGCCCTTGTGTGCAGCACGTCTAGTGGGATTTTTCAAATTCACTGGTTATCACTGTTGAATCAAGGACGCATTAAAATTGACCACTGTCCTTATTTTTGATCATATTCAAATTTCAGTCTTAAGATGTATATGTAAGAAGCAGAAAATACACAAAGTAGCGTCGATCTTGACCCATACCGTCTGAAATTGAAAACCATAACAGTACATCTTGGGCCTTCCTATTATCGATGATTAGGTGAAACTGTCATATTAAATCGTAATGCCATTTATAAACAACTTCTCTGAGGGATTCGAACCGAATTCAAAACAATATTTTATTACATCCCTGTGCGCAGGGAAGACGTTTAACAACTTCATTTGCACTTTAAAAATTATGTCAGCACTCCTCTGTCTCTGAAGGCATTTACACAGGTACTTAAAAAATTGAGACATTACTTAATTTTTTCCGATTTAACTGATGTAAATTTGTATTTGTTGTTTTACAAATAATTAGCAAATGCAATTGCAATAGGAACTTACGTGATTTTGTGCGAGCGCCGTCAGACCATGTCGGTTTTCTTACAAATTGTCATAATATTATAACTATGAATAATATTTGTTTAAGAATTCACTATCTTAAGGGCATTGAAAGAATGATTGTCATGCAAAATTTGGTTAGTCTTGGTTGAATGTTGACAAAGTTATAAATATTGTCTACGACTTTTAAAGACAATCCTCGTAGTTTTATACCTATCAATACATGTAATAAAAATATTCCCTAGAAACTTCAAATTGAATTCGATTTTTATACACTCAAATTTAAAGGCAATTCCCGCACCAAATGTTTTTAAGCAATACTCTTAAATTTCAGTAGTTTATTCTTACTAGCACCCATCAAAATTATCATAGCTCAAGTCTTTCAGTATTTGACAAAGTCCTCAATTTTTAACTTCTTGCTCTATTAAATATATTTCACTTATAAAATTCAACCAATTCATTGAATAATTGTAGAAACTGTAATTTACTACCTTTATAGCTTAAAATATAACAGATCTGTTAACTACTTTGAGTGAAACGTTACTTCTGTTTCTCTTTTGTGTACAAATGTACTTAAAAAATAAACACCTACATGTACCAGTCAGACGACTCACACAATTTAAATTAAGATTGTCTTATTCTGGATCAAATACACATAAAATTAATAGATTAAACAAATTGAACATTTTCTCTTTTTCACAAAGGTGAATAAGAAATTTCAAATACAAACACACAGTACTTTCCATGTTGACTATGACGCACACTAACTGTTTCCTAATTAATCATGCTTAAGATATTGATTTTCTTGCAGTATTTTGACAGAGAAAAAAAAATGAAGTATGCATAAAATATTAGACGTGATCTTTATTGCTTGTTATATGTTCGTTTTTGTTAATTGAGACAGAGTAAATTAACAATCAATCAATTAATAAAACAATTTATCAATTAATATATTAATAATTAAACAGGGTAGAATGACGAAGTCTCGCCATGTGTATTTCTATTCAAATTTGTAAATAAACCGCTTAAACAATTTTAGTTGTAAACTTTTCTCCTTTTCCAAGAGTGTTTTGAACTCAAAATTTTCATACATTACATAAGTTATAAAGGTATCTTTATTCCCAGGTAGATCTTGTTGTTCCTACAGTAACTATTAAATCATCTTATGCATAATGGATAAGGTTAAAATCTTTATGTTGATCAGTTCTCCGGACCAATTTAAGATAATTCACGTTAATCAAGGAAATTGATTACATTCATTATCATGAATACCAAATAAAGCGATCTGAAACAACAATAGTCCATCTCCCAGTTCATTCAGAAGGAAAACTAATCTAATGATTCCTTTTTCCCAAAGAGCTATCAATTTCATTTTTAATATTAACTTAAAAAATACCTGAAAGAAATATATAAAAAGACAGGTGGACAAGATTAAAATTTAACATGTGTATGAAGTTTGGTAGATCAACAAATATAATGATTACAAGTTACAAAAAAAGCAATTAAACCTTTACAACTTTACTTTTTAATTTTTTTGCCTGTTAGTGTTTCAAGAAAACATTTTCTTTCAGACGACAATTTGAGTATTCCAGAAGCCTTTGAAATGATTTTAGCAAGATTTGATTTAAGGTATTTTTAGCAAGTAAACTGAATGATAATTTTGTTGTATTTTTTTTTCTAAAATCACAGCCGAAAACTGAAAATCATGATTTTACCTCCATTCAGAAATTCAAAAAATTTTAGCATTAAAGACGAATCCGACTGAGAATAAACTCTAGATATAGAGTTTTGTTCATTTTAATCATTGAAAATCCACCAGGATATTTATATTGCATTATTGAACCCAGGTTCATAACTCAAGGTAATACAGGTGTATTAAGATTTCCTTAGGGAAATTTAGAAGAGTAAAGATTGAAAAGTGCACTTCCTTTTAGTTTATTATTTTGCTTTAAACGAATTGCTATTTTGATATGAATCATAATTTACTGATGATATTCGAGTGCTAAAATTGATAATAAGCATCAAAACTCTAATAAACATGGAGAATATTACGGATTTTAATGGACAAGACTATGACCTTTTGATATGTTTGGACGATAACTCATTAATGATTCAGGTATGTAAAATGATTATCATACACATGTAGATCTAAGTATATAAACGTTACTTATTTTTTGATTTCAAAACAAAATATTTATGATGGTATATCTATAAACTTAATTTTAATAATATTTAGATGTGCTTACAGAGTCAATGAACAGAATTTGCAATGCATAATAACCGAATATTCTAAATTGATCGAGGACAATTTATTACTGCTTCTGCATTGATACTAATGGTCAATTAACTTTTCCGGAAATACTTGCAATATATATTTCTGTATTCTCAGATGACTTTTGTCATTTAAATCTCTAAAAGATTATTTAATTGTCTTCTTATAGCCTTTCATACATTCAAATTCAATGTTATTCAAGGTCTTCAAAGTAAAAGTCATCCAAAAATTGTGACCAAAATGAAGTTTGGAATGACGATATGATGATGACCTACAAACACAGCTTTTGGATCAATACCACTCCAAGCTGATTTCCATACACAATATTAATGGATTCTTTTGTTGAATAATAGACAGTGATAAAAAGCAATTTTTTATTTAATCTATGAAAATGCACGGTGCAATTACATAAAAGGACTTTCAAAAAGTAATAACAAATCATTGTGTCGTCAATATTAACATGCTAAAATGTTATGTAATTTTATTCTTTTCATCTTCAAAGCCATTGTAAAAATATTTTTCGCATGACAAAAATATTATTGTAAAAATTCCAAAAATATGAACAATTCCATGCCTGAGAATGATATAATGTGTGATGGCAATGACTTGTTTACTAATCTGATTTGGATTAAGATCTTCATTGCAATTTTTCTCTTTGGTTTGGTAACATTTGCTGCATGTGGAAATATATTGGTGATGATCACTTTGATCCGAATCAGGAAATTTACTCGAAAAATAAACGTGTTTTTCATATCCCTGGCGGTTGTTGACATGATTATAGCCGTTTTTGTTATGATACCGTCAATTCTTCGTCATCTTAGCCAGGCATGGTTCCTACATGACCGGATGACAACTCGGATTATATTGCTTCTGGACGTAATGTGTTCCACCTCATCTATACTGCATTTTACTTGCATGACTACTGACCGCTTCATAGCTATCAGCAAACCATTAAGATATTTCCAAATCATGACGCGTAAGGTCGTTGTATTTCTTTTACTGTTGTTGTGGACACTTCCTTTTTTAGAGGGATACTTACTGAGTACATTCAATCCTCATGTCTCTCTCTGCTTACCTGGTGCTGACTTCACTCCGGCTCTTGTTGGATCCATAGTTAGTTTCTACATACCATTAGCGTTCAATATAGTTATGAACATCAAAATATATTTGATTGTGAGAAGACGTAGATTTCATGTCCTAAGCGGTAATCAATTACAAAGTTTCGATTACATAAAAATGGAGTTCCGAGTCGCACGTACAATAAGCATATTGTTTGGATGTTTTTGTGCCTCATGGACCCCATTTTTTGCTGCTAATATTTACAGTGCCATAAGAAAAGAAAACCTGAGTCATCTTATTTGGTATATTGTCACCTGGATAGGATATTTTAATTCTACGATGAATCCATTTTTATTTTATTTTTTACATAAGAGGAAAAGTATGCGAAAGAAAAATACGATCATCACTCATCACATCTCAAATAAAAAAGAAGAAAACGTTTTATATCAATCAAATTCAACCATTAACACTTTCATGTAGTCTCTTTCCTTGTCAATGAATGTTTGATTAATGGAATTTTAAGATATATACACTTTGCATGTAAAGAATTCATGATGAATCAAACAAAATGTAAGAATTAGAATGTATTTGAAACTTAAAGTTTTTAGTTCTATTGATTAAAATAATACCCAACATTTGTGTGAAAATGTAGTTTAGATTGTGTCCGAGAAATTGTTATTAGAAAAGCATTTTATAATTTCAATTTCTTTAACTTCTTGAAAAAAAAAGAATAAGAGATCTTATGTCCTACCCATAATTTTAATACAGTCTTTTTTATAGGAATAGTGTAAACAAATTATTAGAAAAGAAAATGCTAAATAAATAGTATTCACTGTTTAGAATTAAATGCGAGACAGTTCTGGAAAACTGCAGTACCTATGTCTCATAAGTCTTTATCTTTATCAAGATCCCTCATTACGTTGGGCTAGGTTTAGTTTCAGTGGGAATCATTTTTTAAGCCAGTAAATCTTAATTTGTGTTGAAAATTCTAGATAAATAAGTATTGTTAAGCCTATTCATGATCAGAAAATAGTATCTGAATCTTAAAATGAATCGCAAGATTATGGCTATTTAATAAAAAAATATTATCTTGGTCTGTTTTATTTTTGAAATGGAATTATATTGGATTTTTATGACAAGAAGCAGTAAAGGGATGTGACACGTTTTGTTTGTTTATATGTTGTTTAACGTTCCTCTCGAGAATTTTTCACTCATATGGAGACGCCACCACTTGCCGGTGGAGATCTAGAGCTGCAAATTTTGTCCTATACTCGGCACTCACGGCCATTGAGCAGTGAGGGATCTTTTTCGTGCCAGCACCTACTGCGACACGGGACCTCGGTTTATACGGTCCCATCCGAAGGACCTGTCTCCACGTCCCACAGTGGGATTCGAACCCGCGATGTAAGGATCAACTCCTTACTCCGCGACTCTAGAGCAGACGCTCTAACCACTGCACCACGCGGGCGACTATGTGACACGTAATGTTATCCACTGAGTGTCAACAACAATAGTGATTATAATTCTTTTACCAGCTTTTATTGGCTTTAATACTTTTTTGCCTTTGTCTTCATTATTCAATTAAAATTTTCTAAGCAAAATGACCCTTAAAGGAAATATAAAATCGGCCAAAATAAACATCAGTCTTAGTTAAGAATGCTTGTCACCTAATGCAGGAAGGAAGTGACTTGTCATGCAATGCAGGGAGTTATTTGAACAAAAAATCCCTGTCCCCTTTCTTAAAAGATTTATTGTACTAGGATGAAGCGTTGATGGATAAATACTGCAAAACGATCAACTGTTATCTAACAAATACACTTTCAACATCATTTTACATTTCATTCAGTGTTTATTTCGTTTCCTTTATCCACCCATATTACAGTTCCTGATAAAGAAGAATTTATCTACCTCGTTATACGTTTCTCAATAGTCAGCTATTGATTTCATGTTTGAAATATACTTTATAATGATAAATTAAAGTTCGGTTGAGACATCATCTCATTAACTGTGATTAAAAATTCAATATCGTAATTATACAAACTTAACAGGATCGTACAATGTGGATTTTTTTTTTCAATCAGGGTATGTTGATACATAAATAAATGGCTAGGGACACTGAAAATCTCAGCAGCATTTAATTTGTTACAAGTCAGCTAGTTACATTTTTTCGTAATGAATGAGGCAGGAACAGATGCTTGATATAGCTTCCTTTACTGAGAAAAGCTGATATGCTTATGTGAATTATATGTAACATATGTAATTTTTGACAAAAGGACAGCAGCCAAACGATGAATGATTCGAATTCAAATTGTGAAATACAGGAGACGTTGTCAAATATTTCGGAAAAAATAGTTTGTGTGATATTTCTATTTTCTGTTGTGGCAGTCACAGTGTTTGGGAACGCCATGTTGATTTTCAAAGTGGTGAGAAGAGCTGGTTTCAGTAGAAAAATTAATGTGTTTGTGATTTCTCTGGCAGTCGCTGATTGCTGTGTTGCTGTTTTAGTTATGTTGCCCTCTATTTTTCAAGACTTTATTGACCATTCACTATTACATGGAAAATTGATCAGAAAGATCGTTTTTGCTCTTGATTGCATGTTTACCACATCATCAATTCTACATTTTACTTGTATGAATATCGATAGATTTGTAGCCGTGAGTAATCCGTTGAAATATTTTCAAATAATGACAGCAAGACTAGTGTCATTGTTGATCATACTTTGTTGGATTTTATCAACTGGCATTTCAATAACTATTGTTCTTCTAAATTCAGAATATGTTGAATGTGAACATAATCTAATTGTTGAAGGAACAGCGTCAGTGATTGGAGCTTTAATTGCATTTTACTTGCCACTATTATTAAACATTGTAGCAAGTGTTAAAATTCTTCTGAAAGTTCGTGACAGAAAGAAACTTCTGTGCAATGAAATGAAAGAAACAGGCAGAGCTCTATGTCGTCAGCAGCATAAACTTGAGGCAAGTGTTACCAGAACAATTATGATATTACAGGGAATATTTTCGGTGTGTACAGCACCATTCTTCTTGCTTCTTCTTTTTGTGAATGTTTTTGGAATTAAAACCTCTTACACTGCATGGTTAGTGGTGGCATGGCTGGGATATTCCAATTCAACCATAAATCCGTATTTGTATTATTTCTTGAATAAAAGATTCAGGAATACAAATAAAGTTAGTCACACAAGGAAAATGCAACTTGGAAGCAGAGTTTAAATTTAACATAATGTTCTAACTTTTTATGTACAACAACACGTATAAACATTACACATGACACAGAGAAGTTTTTTTCTTATTTAATGTATACTGAAAATAAAATCATTAAAATAATGACTTCACTGTGAGTAATTTCCTACTTTAAAATATGGGATTTACTTAAATATTTTAAACAGCGACGACAAACCTCATCCGGCAGAAAACATCATGGCGTGCAAACGAATATTTGTTTTAAGGTTTTGTACTTAGGTATCCAGAAACACTGTACAACACCTCCGACATCATGTTTGAGTTTAATACTACAAACTGCTCTTTGCTCTAGCAAGGAGTTTCTCTCTCTCTTCGGACCTTTTATTACCTATTTCTACTTAATCCTTTTTTGAAATACAGTTCAAGAATTTAACTGGCACGGTAGCTCAATCACTAGAGCGCTCGCTCTGTGATCGCAAGGTCGTGGGTTCAAACTCAGATCGCGACTGACCTAAAAATAGGTTGTAACTGCTCCTTCACGAAGCGCTAGACACTTTGAAGTGAAAAGTTGCAGGTCTTTGCAGGATGAGACCTTTAAAACGGAGGCCCCTTGCCACGGTAGGCGTTTGCAGGATAAAGATTCCTCACTGCTCAATGGCCCTGAGTGCCGAGTGAAAGTCTAAAATTGAAGCCCTTCACCGGTGTATGGTGACGTCTCTATATGAGTGAAAAATTATCGAACCGGACGTAAAACAACATAAAATCAATCAATCAATTAAAGAATTGAAAGATGAAAATACTGGGGATAAATAAATGATAAAAGTTCCAATAACCTTGTAAGATAGGCAAATGTTTCTATGTTTTTATAACTTTCAGTAGATTTATAAAAGATAACAGCATATATTTACTACAGACTGTGTTACGAATTCTTTAGTCACTAGTGAATTTGAAGTCCTTTGAAGCCCTTTGGATAGTGTTGCGCTGAATAAAAGTTAGAAAGTTATGTTAAGAAAGGAGATTGTTAGATAATAATTCTTCGTTGTATTGATATAACCACCCTCTGTCTGTTCATCTTTCTAATATCACATTCTATACAGTACTAAACAATGTAACTTACAATTTTCTCCAAGACTAAACTGACAACTAATTTCGTCAAAATATATTTTTGGGAAAGGTTATTTGCTTTTCATAAAAAAATACTTTATTGAACTACAAAAGTGTTACAACATGAAACGGATTTCAAAGAGGGTTGTTGACTAATCAAATTTTCAATACGATCATAAACCAAAATACAATGTTATTATTTTTTTTGCAAAACCATTATTACACTATTTTTTTGTGAAAAAAAAAATTATTCTAAAATTCAAGAAATATGAACCACTCGATATCAGATATTGATTTAGTGTGCGATTGAAAATACTTGTTCACTAATTTAATTTTGTGAAGATATTTATTATAAATTTCGGCTTGTTCATGTCTGCTATATGTGGAAATATTTTATTAACGGCCACTTTTGTCGTGATACTTTCAATTTTTCGTCATCTTAGCCATGTCTGGTTCCTACTTGGCAGGATGACAACTCGTATCATATTGCTACTGGACACAATGTTTTCCACCTTATCTGCATTTTGCTTATATGACCACTTAAAGCTTCATAAATTCCTATCAGAAAAAGCGTTAAACGAAAGGTGACGTTGTACGTTTGACACTTATTTTGTTTACACTTCCGCTTATAGAGGGATACTTACTGAATACGCGGAATCCTTATGACACTCTCTGTATCTCGTATGTTGACTTTTTCTTTTGTTGGGTCCATGTTGAGTTTTATTAAACTATTAACATTTTAAATATTTCTGGATATGAAAATAAGTTTCATGTGAGAAGACAAAGATTTCATCTTAACTACTCCAATTTTTAATTCTATACATTTCACGGTATGATTGATTGTATGTTGTTTAATGTCCCATTCAAGAATTTTTCACTCATATAGATGTATCTCGTATGTTGACTTTTTCTTTTGTTGGGTCCATGTTGAGTTTTATTAAACTATTAACATTTTAAATATTTCTGGATATGAAAATAAGTTTCATGTGAGAAGACAAAGATTTCATCTTAACTACTCCAATTTTTAATTCTATACATTTCACGGTATGATTGATTGTATGTTGTTTAATGTCCCATTCAAGAATTTTTCACTCATATAGAGACGTCACCGTATGCCGGTGAAGTGCTTCAAATTTAGACCTATACTCGGCACTCACGGCAATTGAGCAGTGAGGGTTCTTTATCGTGCCAACGCCTACCGTGACACGGGACCTCGGTTTTTAAGGTCTCATCCGAAAGACTTTAACTTTTACTGCCGAGCGCTTGGCGAAGGAACAGTCACTACCTATGTTTACGTCTTAGGTTTGACGCGGCGCGGAGAACGAGAATCGAAGCCGATCACGAAGCGAGCGCCCTGCCACTAGTATACCGTGACAGTATGTACATCAATCTAATGTTTCTGTCAAAATAACATAAATATCTTCACTCTAGTAGTTGTGGGACATAAAGAAAACGAAATTGTGAAGATTTTTTGGTATGTAGAGCATATTAAAATGTTTAAGGATCTGTCATTTTCAATTTGCGTAGTATTAGTCCTATTGGACTTTTGCGAGAAGCGCTGCCTTTACAACAGTTCATCCCATATAAACAAAGAATGTGTTTTATTTTTTAAATAAACAACGTTGCAATTAAGCTGAAAGTAATTTATTCTAAGAGACTTTGAATATTTTCGCTTTTGTAATTTACAAATTTATACAGGTTCTCTGTGTATGAAATGCCCAGTTGCATCCCATAATAATATCTAAAAAATTCTACAGACATGCCAAGTTTAAGTTACTTGAATGAAAGAAAAGAAACCTTGACAAAAGGAATTAATATCAAATCAGCTGACTTCTCTTCATAATCTTTGAAAAAAGGTACTTGAATTTATCGTCTGATCTGAAGTTGCCTTATTTGTATCTATTAAATCTACCTGAAGGAGCTTAACTGCTCTATGCTTAATCATTAGCTGAATCGATTTTTTTCTTAACAAAATGGTTTATTTAGTAAATTATTGATAAAGGTATGCATTACAATTTAAATTCATAATTCAAGTGCACTAGCATATAAAGTAGTTTTGTTTCAACATGCAAACATTATTCAAATGTTTATTTTGGAAATAAACATTATCTTTTTTTCAAATAGATTAATTTCAAGACAGATAATTTCGTATGCACGTACTTATTTTTGTTCATAAACACTTTTCAAAATTTACTTCATCTGAGTTTTTAGAATAAATAATAACAATTAGACTAACAATTACTACAGGACTGAAAAAATGAAAATGAATATCTATCAATACTAAGCAACAAATGTGTTTTTTATTGAAAAGTTTACTTGCTTTTTATTTTTGCTCTATTGGAACAAGAGGCCCATGAGCCACATCGCTCACCTCAACACTATGGCTAGGGACAAACTTGAATTTACACTACCTCAGGATGCTTCCATATTACCACATTACTATTACTATTCCACATTACTAAGCATGGCTTTGCTGTTCTAGAGCAGAACAATTGTAAAGATTTTTTTCCTATGTATTCCAATGTAAAATTCTGATCGCTCATTGTGGCCCCACCCTACCCACTCTAAATTTGAACAAATTAGAATCTACATTACCTGAGGATGCTTCTATAATAATATGACTAATCATGACTTTGCTATTCTTGAGCAGAAGATTTTTTCAAGATGATTCCTATATATTCTAATGTAAATCTTTGACCCTCTGTTGTGCCCCCAACCCCTGGGAGACCATAATTTGAACAAACTTAAATCTACAATACCTAAGGTTGCTTCCTTATAAATATGACTAATAATGGCTTAGTTGTTCTTGAGAAGATTATTAAAAGATATTTCATATGTAATGTGTATGATCAGGTTCTTACAAGGGATATATACAGTAGGTTTTCCTTTTACTCTGAGTTAATGATGAAATGTTTATTAAGACATCTTTCTCTGAGGAAGAATCAAACAATACTTTTTTCTCTTATCTAGAGACAAGGACTGGGTAAGGTACTACTTGCACTGTGTTTCTCCCCTAGGTTCCTATTGATAGATAAGAACCGGGCGTCTCAATCTTCTTCAGATTTACTACACCCAGAACTTAACATCAATACCTTAGTAGACTTGCCACTGGTGCTTATAACTTTCATACTTTTATTTTGCTCTTACCCTTAACTTCTTTATTGATGATTAAATGGCCAACTTCTTCAGCTAGCTTCTGAATGCCTGACTTTTCCAAAGCTTTGCCTTATATACCCTTTGGCTAGTCCATTCCAAGGGTTGTCAGGACATTCCACTATATACATGTATATTTGAAGTTTTCAATGTGTTTTACGCAAATGCCCCTTAACCATTACATCTGTATATTCTTACGTAAAATTTGACTCGCTGTTGTGGCCCAGCCCTACCCCAGGGGGTCATGATTTGAATAAACGTGAATCTACACCACCTGAGGATACTTCTATATTAATATGAGTAATAATGACTCAGCTGTTTTTGAGATGAAATTTTTTAAAGATATTTCCTATATACTCCTATGGTCAACTTTGGCTCCATTTTGTGTCTGCACCCAACCCCCAGGGGTCATGGTTTGAACAAATGTATATCTACATTATCTGGGAATACTTCTATAATAATATGACTAATCATGGCTTTGTTGTTCTCGAGGAGATTTTTAAAGACATTTCCTGTATATTCCTTTGCAAAACTTCGACCCTCTCTTGTGGTCCCACCGTACCCTGGGGGGTTATGATATGAACAAAATTGAATCTAGATAATGTAATGAAGCTTTCATATAAGTTTCATAATTTCTTGCCCAGTGGTTCTTGAGAAGAAGATTTTAAAAAGATGCCACCAAATTTTCACAAATTCTTAATTATCTCCAAATGAAAGAGGCAGTGGCACTTTCTGTGAGCAAATTTTAATCCCTTTGACCCAAGAATGCTTTGTGGCAAGTTTGGTTGTAATTGGCCTACTGGCTCTTGAGAAATCGAAAATGTGAAAAGTTTGCAGACGACAGACGGACGCCGGCCACTTTTTGATCAGAAAAGCTCACTTAAGCCATCGACTCCTTGTTCTATTTTCAATATAACGCACTATTCAAGTAGTGTTTTCAAATCGGACTATTTTAAGTAACCGGTTACTCGTTTACTTTTCCGATCAAGTACATGTACCCGGTATCTAGCAGGGTTTTTAAGGACCTCTGAAAACCCTAGCCCGCATTATGTAAAATATAACAATAAATGTAATATATGTTATGTCGTTTCTATCTATTCCTTTGTATACTAAGAGCTCTTGTTATTTTTTCTCTGCCCTGATATATGCCGCGATCTAGGAAAATTCAAATATCCCACTATCCCATGTCTGATTTCACTGGATGTTCTGTGCATCACTTGTTTCAGAGTCATGTTTCAGTCTGAGGTGGGTTAGCATATTTATTGTCAACCCGTATATGTTAACTCCATTTTTCATACTTTACAAATTCAAAATCAGCCATTCTTTCAAAATATTTCCAAGCCTTTGATACCTTGGGCGACATCTTGTTTAATTAAATAGTTAAAACTTTTGTCTATAAATCGTGATTTCCCCTTGACCATCAATTCACGAAAACTAAAAATAAAGATAGAATTCCCTATATGGATTTTATCATTTAATAGAACAATTAAATCCTGGCTCCGGGGCCATAAAACTTAGACGAGCTCACTTTTGATCTCAGTCTCACTTTTACCAAAGGAATTAATAGTGGAAAAGTGAGACTGAGATCAAAAGTGAGCTCGTCTAAGTTTTATGGCGCCGAGGCCAGATCTTCCATTTCAATTGGAATCCTCTAACCGAAAATTATTGGACGCATTTCGATAGTAACGGAATTCTTTTAATTTATTTTTTTATTTTCATGAGGAATAATTGTTAATGCTTTTTGTAGTGATTATTTGAGAGTTGCATCCCCAAAATCTGTGACGATTGCCAAATCTTTCAATACATCGGTTACAGAGAATGAATCAAATACTGAAAACATTTCTTGCTATGTGCTGGGAATCGTTGCTAGGATTCATTGAGTACAAAAAAATACTTTCGGAAAACAAACATTACAATGTCAATTTGCTTCAAATACATTTTTTATGAATTGATTTAAATAAATCTTACGAGTTTACATGAATATGTGTCAACATTAACTTTTTGCCTCGTCGCTATGGGGCAGTGTTGTTGTTACTATGGAAATAAGTCATTGTACAATATTCAATAATTTGCTACAACATTTTAAATTATTCTTTCCGCACTCTCAAAATATACAATTATCAGCATATTAATTGAATATTCATTCCCATGACAAACAATACGATTCCAAAGTCAAATTAGTTTTACAGGAGGCATAGGTTACATTGGTTGTTATGTACTGGGAATCATTGCCATGGGTTGATTAAGTAAGAAAAAAAACCTTTAATAAGACCGACATTTCATTGTCAATTTTGCTCAACCACTTTTTTCTTTTTCTGACCTAATTTGAATAAGTCTTAATAAGATTACATGAAAGCATGTCAAAATTAACTTTCTTTGCCTCGTTGCTATGGAAAACTTGTTGTTGCTATGGAAATAATAATTATACAATATTCAATAATTTGCTAGGAAGTCCAAGTTTAATTGTACTATTTCAAAATTTGTTTCTCGTTTACGTAGATAACAATTCATTTGATTTTTCTTAAACTTTTTATTTTGTTTCTCTTTTTATCCATCAAAACGCCCATATTTGTTGCTAGGCAACAGATTCGATTTTCAGGAAGGCCCATGGATTTGACTTCAAATTCTAAAAGAGAAATTCCTCTGCTTGTATGTGAAATACACGCAACAACTGTATTAATCTGGCTTCTTTTTTAATTTGGCCTTGAATATTGCCAAAATCAAGAAAAATGCTGAATCAGCAAAATTGCAAAACATGTGTATCTTCAAATGTCTAGCATAGAACTAATTTTAGACGTATTTTTTTTATTGCTAAAATGCGTGTCTTTATTATACCAGTAAGTGAAAGTAATTCTCATGGTATTTACATTTTATTTAAAGCCCTAAAGATAGGTGATTTTTTTGTCCATCAACGTGGAAAAATTTGCCAGTTGCTAAGAAAACTTCTTTCGCCAAGTTTCCATGGTAACCATGACTCAAAACATTTTTCATTTTACATGCATTGTTCATAGTTCAAAACAAATCTATGAGTGGAAAATCATCGAATTCTGAGAACCCTAATATATCACCCTTTGTCTGATTTTTATATGGACTGGTACTTAAATAGCCCAAAACCCTTTTAGTCTCTGACTATTAGAGCTTACAATGGAAAACAATCACCACAAATATTCAAATTACTAAAACAGAGCACAATCTGTTCATTATAGAAAGTATTGTTGTAATGCTACAGAGTCAGCTTTCCTCCAGAGAATGTAGTTAAGAGCTAGTCTCATCAGAAACCTTTGGATGATCTTTGCGTGATATATTATATGGAGTAGTAGTCGGGTCATGAAGATTTGTCTACTATTAGTATTTACTGTTTAAAACGCGTATATTTTTCTTGAGATGTACAAATAATCTGACATTTTCAAAGTTATACTAAAAAAATAAATTCTAATTCATCAATTAAGCAAATTTTTTTTTCTCATAGAAAATGATACGATTCCCGGTCCCTTGAATACTCACTTAAAATGCACAACGAAGTTTCCATAGCCTAATATACAATGACAGAGTCGCTGCTGATATCAGAATGCATGTAGCATCAAACGTCATGTATAATTCAATAGTAAGTCATTTATTCATGTGACCGTTGGATGTAAACTTGTATTATATGTCATGTACGCATAATCATTGTCCTTTATTTATTATTAATGTGTATTCCCCATCAGTTATCGTATCAAAAACGTTTTCCAACTTTACCTATTGTAAGGAATTAAAACACAATAAAAACAGATGAAATTGATCTTTATACACACTTTCTTAAGCACTTAGTATTTTATATTTATTCCTTTTTACCGAATAATATCATGCTCTTTTTTCCTGAATTAGAAGGAGCAATTATAATTCCCTTGTGTTGTGTTCCGTAATGGTGGGTTGTAAATATTGAGCGAACATTTGTTACTTGGGTTGCAAACGCTTTTTATGTTTATTGATTAAGAAATCATTCAAACATTCATTTTCTTAATTGTAAAAAAAAAAAATGCTCGAAACAAAATGGTTAATTATCAGAGTAAGTTGATAGTAAATATATCGGTTGAGTTGTTTAATCAATAACTCATGTAATGTAAACAACCGAGTGATATTTGTGCTGCTCAAATGACGCAGAAACAAGTGCTCGACGAAGCTTCTTTTACCACGTAAAACATATAGCTAACTGAGTCCCATACGGAACTGACAACAGGACAGCTAGGCACAAGATGAACAATTCAAAATCAAATTGTGAGACTTCGGAGATGTTAATATCAAATCTTTCCGGGAAAGTAGCTTGTGTGATATTTCTGTTTTTTGTTGTGGCAGTCACAGTGTTTGGGAACTTTATGTTGATATTCAAAGTGGTAAGGAGAGCTGGTTTGCATAGAAAAATTAACGTGTTTGTGATTTCTCTGGCAGTCGCTGATTGTGGTGTTGCTTTGTTAGTAATGTTGCCCTCTATTTTTCAAGACTTTATCAGTCATTCACTATTACATGGAAAATTGATCAGAAAGATAGTTTTTGCTTTTGATTGCATGTTTACCACATCATCCATTTTGCATTTCACCTGTATGAATGTTGACAGATATATAGCCGTGAGCACTCCATTGAAATATTTCCAAAAAATGAATGCAAAAGTAGTGTCAATGTTGATAATATTTTCTTGGATTTTGTCATCTGCAATTTCAGTAACCATTGTTCTTCTAAATTCAGAAAATGTTGGATGTGAATATAGCCTAATTGTGGAAGGCGTGGCTTCAGTTATGGGTGCCGTACTTGCATTTTACTTGCCACTACTATTAAACATTGTTGCTAGTGTTAAAATTGTATTGAAGGTTCGCAACAGAAACAAATTTCTGTGCAACGAATTGGAAGGTAAATGCAGTACTCTTCGTCGTCAGCAACATAAAATTGAGACCAGGGTTACCAGAACAATAATGATATTACAGGGAACATTTGCTGTGTGTACCACACCATTCTTTCTGCTTCTCTTTTTGGTGAATTTATTTGGAATAAAAGCCTCTTACACGGCGTGGTTCATGGTAGCATGGCTGGGATATTCTAATTCAACGATAAATCCGTATTTATATTACTTCTTGAATAAAAGATTTAAGAATACGGATAAAAATAATCACAGAGAGCATATACAATTTGGAAATAAAATTTAAATTTCTCTCTTCTCATTTTTTATGTACAAGTAAAAAAATATGTATTATGTACAGGGTGATTACAAATCTACATTAAATTAAAAGTCCACCGATGAAAATGTTTCTTCTGATTTTTTCCCCAAGAATCAATTTCTTATGACTAGGAATAATTGAAATCACTTCAAAAAATACAAATAAGTGTCACTTAAGTGCATTTTTAGTGTCTTAAATATGTTAGCAATTTTCATTTTTTCAAAAGCTATGACGGCGTACCTTTGTCGTTCGTTTCTTATAAGTATCTCTTTTGTCGGACTAGCAAGACAATTGTGTAAACCTGCTTTAATGTCACATATTTACAATGATAATTATATGAGAATGAATATTAAAATATTATCAATTGTAAATCTTGAATCCTAATCGTGCTTGAATGGGGTTGTTTCCTTTGAGTCACAAAGGTAAAGTTTCTGTTTGAATTTAATTTTTCGGGAAAAAAAAAACAGCAGTTAACTGATTTTGTAATTTTGTACTTTGTTTAAAATGTTTAAAAAAATATATTTTTACATAGTATGAAGAACCGATGAATTTTTAAATGCTAATGAAAAATGTTTACAGTTAAGTATAATTTTTGAAAACTTTAGAATCATATTGTAATCAGCAGGGTCTTAATTAGTCATATTAAAATGGAAGCATCATCAGGTTGTGTAGATTCAAGTTTTTTTTGTTTTGATTTTTTTTTGTATTTTTTCAAATTAAGGCATCATCTGGTGGGGCCAAAATCATAGATCAAAGTTTAATATGCTAATATATTGAAAAAAAAAAAAATTAAAATCCTCTTCTGAAGTAAAGCAGAATCATAATTTGTATTATTAATACAAGCATCCTCAGATAGCGCATATGCAGATTTGTTCAAAATAGGTCCGCGAGAAAAGCTTGAGGCCGCTATGTACTCATTATAGAAATAAAAACATACACACATATACAAGATTTCCGAGTTTTTAGAACAACTCGGATGGAAAGTATCAGTAATCAAGATTGAAATCTGTAATGATTTATCAAAGTGCACCCCACTGCAGTACTAAAAGAATGAGAATTTTAATAGAATTGTGTTTGCGTGTTTTTCTTGTACATTTGACTAAATGCTATGGTAACTTTGATGTGACCTCCGAAAAAATAATAGCTCTGCAGAAAATTCACTTAAAACATAATTTTTTGAGCTCTATAGAAAATGATTCAAGATCAGCATAGCAGAAAACACGACTCTGAATTATTGGCCAACCTATCAGTGCCGATACGGTGACCTTTAATGTAAATTGGCTTAGAAAATAATTGGATATACAAGTCTTACCCCTCCTTTCCTCCCCTGAATTTCTTGATAGCTATCAAAGAAGACTTACATATTATCTACTGAAATTCAGACATAAATTGTTTAATAAAAATAACAGTTTTTCTGTTCAAGAAGTAAAACGAGACCCCCTTTCTATGAATTTCTTTTTAGGATATAAGATATAATTTTTAGAGTTTCACTTGGATACGACATGAAGTTGGTCATGTGATCAAAACCTAGAAGCCAGGGCATTATATACTACTAGAGATTGTTCTTTCTGACGTATCCGTACAAGTATCCGTATCCGCATATGTATCGAGGTGAGAGAGGCATCTCGATCCCGATGTCTAAACTATTTACTATAATTTCCATCGTTATTTGTTTGGTTTTAAAGAAACCCCATTCATATAATAATAGCATATGGTATTTTTTCTAATAAAAAATGTATTAACCTGCTTTAAACGTCTTTCATTTCGCTGGAAAATTTTTAAAAAATAGATAATGAAATTAAATAAATTTGTATTTGTTTTCATTATATTGTTTAAAACTTTGATTGCAATTTTGTTTAAAAACATTTATCGGGATCCCCCTCTCTCCCTCTTAACATCAGGACATTTTATTGATTGATTCTGTAATTAATATTAGATGACATAAAAGTTAACCCCACCCCCCACCCCCCACTCACACACACACACACACTAAAATGCAAAAGACGTTGATATCCACACAATCAACAAAACCTTGTAGCCGTTTTCTAAAGAGAAATTGCTTCCAGACCCTTACCAGTATATGCTTAAAAATGTCAGTTTACCCCCCCCCCCCCCCCCCGGGAACACACACAAATTTCATAGCGTCTGTTGACTTTCTTCATTCTTTTTTCAATGAACTATTTGACAAATACCTGTATGTCTTCCCTTCCCCTCCCCAGTTGAAATTGCTACTTTCGTGCCTATTCTCATACGGCTTGATTTTGCTTTATATTTTGTCCTTTCAGCAGTATTAACTTGAGAAGACTTCATTGCGACAAAAAATAGGTAATGAAATGAAAATGCAATAGTTAAATTTGATTTTTCTTTTAGTTCTCTTGTTGTCGTACATGCGTATTATATATAATTCATGGTTTGATATAGAAACTGTTTCATAATATGGTATTCATTATCTTAACTCTCTTTTTGTAAGAAAAAAAAGAACATTAGGCTAAAAAATTCCAAAACAATAGGTTTATCTATTTATTCTATGCTACCTTGTCCATCTAGCTGGTTTTTATTTATTTATTCATTTTTTTAATTTTATTTATTTATTTATGCATTTTGGCCCAGATCGGGACAAGTGTGAGTAAATTCAACAAGCAGTTTATAGAATTGAAGAGAATCGAAGAGGCTGCTTCAACGTAGCAGAGAAATAAAAAAAAACACAGAATAAAGGATAAAATTTATACAAAACATTTAATTGATAAAATATCAGCATTTTTTCTTTAAAGAGTTTTGATCCCGCTTGTACACAAAGAATTACAGTAGTCTAAATTTCAATAAATAAATCATTAAGTAAACTTTAGACAACATGTATATAAAGTAATGTATAAGACATAAATAAAAAATTTTCTCCGTTTATCTCTCCTTTTATCGACAATTGTTAATTCATCCGCGATAAAAATGCGTGTAATTGCATTACTTTTGGAAATGGTAGTCCTTTCTCAAGCTCTCTGGAATTTCGGATACGCTATCACCTAACAATTTAGGAAATTTAGAGTCTTCAAACCATCCCAATTGCCAGCTTTCCAAAGCTTTTCTGGAGAACTATGTCCATCATATATAATCAAATGATATACAGAATGTTAATAATGATAAAAAAGAAAATGAGGATGGAAATTTTCAGTGCCCCCCCCCCCCCACACACACAAACATTCACACAGAGTATGCAGTATGGTCAAATTAATCTTTCACAGTTAATGTATCCGTAATTATTTTTGTGGAAAAGAGGAACTCAAAACTTAATATCCATACCCCCCCCCCCCACACACACACACACAAACATACATACCCAGTAATAGGTTTTTTTTTTTGGAGTTTTATTAATTTCTACACATTTTTATTGTCAAAGTTTTGCTAAGGTGACTTGTCATTTTTTGGTTTCTTTTTGGTTTCTCCCTGCCTCGGCCCAGCTTCCCCCTTCTCCACTTTGTTAATCAATTTTAAGTGTCTGCTTGATGTATACAAACTTATACTCATCTAGAATGTTTGATCTCTGACACCTCGTACAGTTAAACTTTGTTAACTCAAATCCTTGGATATATCGAAGTTTTAATTGGTCCAATCAAGTTGCAAGAGATAAAGAGCGTTGACTGTATGCATTATGGGGAATATGTCTTGTACTGGTAAAGGTTACTTCGAGAATGAAACAATAATATATCCTGATATTGTGTGTGTGTGTGTGTATGAGAGAGAGAGAGAGAGAGAGAGAGAGAGAGAGAGAGAGAGAGAAGGGGGAAGTCCCTTTTTAACCTTTTTTTAATTTTTAAACAATTTAATAAAAATATACATACTTTTTTACTAATTTCATTTTTTTTTAAAAATCCTTCCATAAAATGATAGGTGTGAACAGCAACTTGATACGTTTTATTAGAAATATTACTATATATCTTATTTTCCAATGAATGAGGTTAAAATCAAACAAGAAACGATGGAAATGGTACCCACGGTTAAATCATCGGGATCGAGATGCCTCTCATACCTCGATACATATACGGATACGGATACGTATACGGATACGTCAGAAAGAACAATCTCTACTAGTAGTAGATTTGATCAACTGCAACTGCAACTTCAGGTAAATGATCAACTTCATTTCGCATCCCAATGAAACTGCAAAAAATTATATTTCTTTTCTTCTACATATATTTCTATTTTGATTTGTGTTGTAAAGAAAATCTTCAGATGGGTTAAGTAATTAAGATATGTATAGAAGGCAAGATGATTTCTACACTTTATACAGACAAATTTACGTGTTCGAATGAAAAAAACCCCACCTTTCAGCACGTTTTCAATTTTCGCCAATTGCAAGTGCTGAAGGAGTTCATTAATTATGGGAAGACATACTATTGGGTTCATTCTAAAATTTCAAACATCTGGTATAATACGGCTTAGTGTATTATAAGCTTTTCTGAATGAATTGTGAAAACTTATTCCGAAAAGTTTATCTTGTGCAAAAATGGAAATTCATTAGTTAACCAATTCGTAAAAGATCTTAATTTATCTGTAATTTTAATTTGGAATTCTAATAAATTAAAATGAACAATTAAAATAATTCAACATTGAAACATTAAGTAAACACATACACACACACACACAAAACACTTTTAATAAACTGTCATTTTCAATGAAAAAATGAAGAAAGTCAAGTATTCCATTGTAGAAAAAGAAAATGTATCAATATTGCTTACAGTCTCTCAGAAAACGGTTTTTCTTATTTTCTTGACTTTTTCTTTAAAATGATATTAAATTCAATACAGGTATTTGGGTTATTTTCAACATGATTTCAAGTTGAATAACATGAAAATGCTTCATTTTCTACATTATTCTATCATAGCCGTTAGGTAAGGGAAAAAATTAAGCTTACATCAATTATGACATCATTATGGATCTAGCACTAAATTCATTGCTAGATCTTGACCTATATGCATGTACGATCCATGTTTCGTCACAGTACTGATCTTCCAAATGTCTACTGCGGTTGCATTCCGTCCGCAAGAGAGTCTGATCAAGTGATCGACTTATGGTATGTCACTCGTCAGCCAGTTCAGTCAGAATCTTTAAGTTCAAAACTATGTATTACAATTCAATTTTTATAACATATTTTATTTAAACAATGCATATCATACCACATTCAATTTAAAAACTGCTCACAAAATCCTGAAGAAATAAGATTTATGGGGAAACTATTTCTTGTGGTGGAAGAATATTTCGAAGAAAATTCTTCAAATGTGGTCAATTTAACTTTCAATATATATTCGAACTTTAGCCCTACATATTTTAGCTCAGAGAATTTTTTCCGTTATCATTATTATTATACTGGGAATGAAATATAGGTTTCAATTTATATTATTTTTAAAACAAATTTACACATTCACTCAACAGACTTTACAAATAAATAAAAATATATTGAAGAAATGAAGATAAAATTTACATTTTTTTCTTGAAAATAGGATATTTTTCCCAATATCTCAAAATTTATATCACTGGCCCCAACGTTTTCTTTCATTACTTTAAAGTACACGAAACTTGCAACCGATCAGCACTAAAGTCATAAAAGTTTGATACAAGAAAATATTTTATTGCAGGGGACCAAAGGGGGGGGGGCGCCCCCACCTTTTTTCTGAGTATAGAATTTTGCTATAGTTAATTTTCCTATAGGCGCTGGTTGCAACCCCCCCCCCCCCTCCACCCACACTTTTGTTGATGTTGTAAGGTCGAGGCCTGGCAAATTCCAGGATTTGGATAGTAAATTAGCTGTTTTTTTTTTGCTTGACAGATAATTTTGTAAAGTTGCCCCCCCCCCCATTTGATCAAGTTAGTTTTTTTTTTTGGCTTGTCAAATTTTTTGCGGGGAGTTGACCCCCACCCACTTTTGAAACTGTTGCTACGGGCCTGTATTAATACCCCAAATATTATACTTTGTAGTGCAAAAAGGTCATACAATATTTTATGCGCATTAATTTGCAGGATTTGTTCAATGATAAAAAATATTATTCAAACTACTTTACGTAAAATCAGATAAATTTTGTTGCCATGGTTACACCTGGTAAAATATGATGAAGGTTAAAGTGATTAACCTAAGAGTTACAATTTAAGTGCACAAAGGTCAAGTTAATTGTACTGTTGCTCCGTAAGATGCACACTAACCCCCAGTTTTCTTTTCTATATGAGTACTTACCTATAATGAACTTCTCAAAAATCCTTGATATAACTAATTTCACGATTGACATACCTTAAGGAAACACATTGGCAAATGTAAATAAAAAACCATCTCACAGTTTAAATTTATATTTGTTATTTATAATGATACTGTTCAGTTTTTGTCGCCATAATCTCTAAATTCAAAGGCGCCAATTCGTTACAATGTCAAAAGGCTGATTTTCTTTCTTTTTTTTCTCTCGAAGGAAATATAAAAACTAAGTAATGATTATCATTGCGTACTATCACTGGATATAATGTTGATAATGGCACGTACAATACATTAAGCAATGCGCCATGATTGCATTGAGTGGCAGCACTACACGTTTTTATTCCCACAACACTAAAGTTATGTGATGCGTGTCAAGCATGAACATAAAGAAATATAATTACGCATAAAAATCCAACAATTGTAAGCAGGAAAAATCAGCATCACTGTGACACATCCAATATTCATTCCATCTGTTTATACTGAACATATCTGATACGTGGATATTCAGAAGTAAGCAAAGAAAATGAGACAAAATGTTTCTATTAACAAACCAGATTCACAAAAATAGCGTTCCATTTTTCGTATTTTTATCAGTCATTTTGATTTACAGGTCTGGGGGAAAAACCAACGATTAATTTTATCAAAATCACAGTGGATATATAGTATAAGTTAAAAAACATCTTAAGTAGAATGTACAGATGTTGGATTACAATTCAATTAAATGTAAATGGCTCTTTCTCCAAACAGTATTCAAAATACATGTTTTAAAATTATTGCCAAACTAAAATACATTGAATTCATTGTTCTAAACTTGTGTAAAAAGTTAATTTACGAATGTAAGTAGATATTCGAAATTAAATAAATAAAAAGAGAATTTTTTGTAACTATAAATTAAATAATATTCTTTGAAGAAGTTGAGAAAGAATTCTAGTTAATTAAAATGCACTGGGGGCCATGTCAACATTGTCAAAATCCCGCCTAAAATACATGTATCACATCACCATATTTAACCGTATTTACTATCTGTAATCTTTATCAAGTTACATTAAAATGAAAAAGAACGTTCATCTAAAAAAGATTAAGACATTGACAGTCAGTTTTCAGACTTGTGAGCTCAGTTCATTTTAACCTATTGTTCATAAAAATAGTAGAGATACGGTTTTACAGTAGAGTTGATGTATCCCAACCAAGTCACAATTAACAATGATGTCCGAGAGATTTCAACGTCGGAGGGATTGTTCAGGATAAGAACAAGGAAAAACGGTGTAAAACACACAATAAAAAAAAACTCTGTAGAAGTTTTAATGTTTAGTAACTCTAGTTTCCGATCTTTGCTGATTATGATCAAGAAAAAGTCCTTCGTTTGCCGCCAAGTGACACAGCTGCTGGCTTCTTGTTCGAACTCTCAGATAGATGTTAATGCTGCCACTGATATTCAGCATCAGAGGAAGATAAAATACTAACACTGATCCAATTAACGATGCCGACCCCTCCACACTAAGATTGTAATGTGGACGGCAAATGGTTTTGTTAGCATTCATGTAAAGTACAAACACTGAATTCGAAAATGCTATGAACCAGCAAAGAAATACCATGCATGTAACCAGTCTTCTATTCATTATTTGGAAATATTTCAAAGGTTTACTAACAGCTACAAATCGGTCAATGTTCATACACGTGAAATGTAAAATTGAGGAGGTTGAAAACATTATGTCTAATGCAAAAAATATTTTAACAGTTAAATCATTTTTTAAAAAGGCATCGTCGCTGAAGTTATGAATAATTGAGACTGGCATAACTAATATACCTATGAATAAGTCAGCTAAAGCCAAGGAAATTACAAAAACTTTGATTTTTCTGTCAAACTGTCTTCTCCTCGCCACTTTGAAAACCAGAAAAAGGTTTCCAAAAATAGTAACTGCAGCAACGGAGAATGGTAAAGTTATTCACAAAACTCTTCTTATATCATTTGGAATAATAGCCTCTTCATTGTCACAATTTGTCACTGAAGCATTCAGCTTGTTTTTGTCCATCTCAATTTCGTTCAGAAAAGCTTGCAATGAAGGTCTGCTGATCTACAGTTTAAATTGCACACAATGCAAATTGAAAAGTCGTTATTGTAAATTTAGAAATAATATAAAGATTGAAACACGGTTTTTCTATGTAAGATAATAAATATGTATAAATATACGTTGCCTGTTCATTGTAGCAGGTTTGCTAATAGTGAAGCCCTACTTATGCTTTTCAAGTTCTGTTTTGTTAAGAATATTGTAAGCAGAGAGGAGTAACGTACGAATATATGTCAATTTCTGCTGACGCAATGAGAACCATTTTCTCATTACGTGAAATTTGGGTAATTGACTAGATATTATACTGCACTAACTTATTCGTATTCTACATGATAAATCTTTTTATACTTCAAATTCTGATTAGATTAAAAGATTTCAAGGAAACTGTGTCTTTGAGTTCTGCCATATTTTGTAACAAAACAGAAACAAAATACTGTGTATTTTTATTGCAGAGGAATTTTTAATTTAGGGAAAATATTTAATTTAATAAATACATTTGTATCAAAAAAATATTTACAGTTATATACATCAGAATACTAAACAAAATTTTAGTTACATGGGTGCTATCTGTTCTTTATAATTCTCGTGTTTGTTGTCAGAACTGCATTTTCTTCTTGTATGTCAACCTCCCTCCTCACCAAATCTTACAGATATGACCCAACATTTAAATAAATCGACGACATTTTATCAATTAACAATTGTCACTTTCTTTTAAGGAATGGATTTAATAGCTACCCAATTTATACGGTATAAACTGGGTTTGGGCAGCTTACGCTTTATAAACTGCGAAGCGGTTTTTAAAAAAGCGTAAACTGTTCCAATCCAGTTTACATCGTATAAATTGGGTAGCCATTAAATTCATACCTTTTGATTTAATTTTCATCCATTTAATGAGAATATAAGATGATTACTTTTAAAAATGACTTCAAATTGTGCAAAAATTTAAATGTAACGTCAGGCGGATCGATACGTTTCTGAGGCAAGTCATTGTGACGTGAGCAAAACAGTTTATAGATATAAAGTAATTTTTTTTATCCAATCAAATGGCGCGGTTCGTTATCTTCACTTTTTCAAATTATGGTCGTTTACAATCTTATTTATATTGACCCCTTTGAAGTTCATGTTATGCATATACTAGTAATTAAAACTTTCACCTTCCACTTTATCCTACATGATATTAACACATGCCAGAGAGTCTTCGTCAAATGAACGCATCAAGTTCACTCATACATAGAAATGATGTCCTCCTTCACTTTATATTAGGGATGGCAACGGTTAGCCGGTTAAGAGACTAATTGGTCGAAAAGATCGCAGCCGGTTACAATTTTCATTACAGGTTAATCGATACTTTTTGTACTAATATATATATATATATATATATATATATATATATATATATATATATATATATATATATATATATATATATATATATATATATATATATATATATACATAACCGCTCGGCTATCTAGGCAGTGTTATGTAATGTTAGTTTAAGAGTTGTTGTAAAACATGCTTTATAAGTAACGATATCCCTGTTTTAGTTTCGTGTTAAAAACAAGAACTCATTTTCTACTCAGCGTTGTTTTACACGGTGATTGTTTCAAATCATTGCGAATCTTGACGATTTAATCAGCAAAATGCCACCTCCACCATCGACATCAATGGGATATTTCAAAAGAGATAGAGAGAGGGACGGCAAAATTTTAAACACAGAAAAATCTCTTTGACTGGTGACGAGATTTTGGTGCAATTCATTATACCAGTGAAGTATCCTGCGATTCCCGAACATCTGAGTTACGAGGTAGTGGTTGATGAAATCATTTCTTAAGAATAAGAATTATATCAATAGTGCAGAAACGAAAGCAATGTGAGTGTCTCTAAAAATATGGCCTGACTCTGATAGCAGTAATTTTGAAATAAATGTTCATTTTCTATTTTGATTAAAAAGTAAAATATTCTGATTATAACTGTTTGATATATATTTTAGAAAATGCTTTTTTAAGATATAATTTGAGTAGCTCGTTCAAATAAAGTTTATACTTTCTGAATAAGAATACTAAAGCTGTAGCCTTCCACTAATATAACCCTCAATTATATACATGTATAACAGTAAAAACTTTGTGAAAGTAGCAATGAAAAATGGGAAAGAAAAAATTATTCAAAACAAACTTTATACTAGTCGTGATTTTAATCTATAGATAAAAATAAAGGTAATTGCACAAATTAAGCATAATCATCAAATATCACTCCATTTTATATAGGATTGGAATATTATTTTGACATTTCATAAAAGTATTTAAAATGTGCATGTTCTGTGTAAAAATCAGAAACGTTTGCCAGTACAAATAAATCTTTGATTCATGAACTGTACTACAAGGTTATGAAATTAAATAGCTTAACAGAAATCTAAAGGAGATAAAAGCAACATTGATATCAGAATATATTCATCGATCCTGCAGACTTTGTCATAAGTATAAGGAATCCAGAGAGATGCCAAAGAGTGATTTTGATTTATCTGAGATAGGGTTTTGGCTCAGTATATTTCATTTTTTCCCTCTCATTTTCAAAATTACATTATTTTTTTTTCATAATTGGAAAGTATTTTCATATATAACTTGATTTACATACATATTCTGGTACATGTATTTTCTATAGTTTACTTCATAACTGTAATTCAGAATTCTATTTCGTGAACCTACTTTAGAAATAATTATGCAATAAATATTTTTAAGCGATAACGAAATAGTTGCAATTTGAAATAACTGTCCTTTAATTCTTTGGATTTTCAACCTTTGCACCCAACCTCTCTCTTTAAGCAATAAAGAAATAAATAGATATGAAATGAGAATCACGCATAGATTTTATATCCGTACATATTCCATATTCATTAAGAAAATTGGGATTATACATTAATGGAGTAAGAATGTAATGTATGACATTAACTTAGAAGAAAGATTGATTAACCACGTCACAATTAACAATGTATGAGAGAGAGATTGTATAAGGTAAGAACAAGTGAAAATGGTGTTATAGCTCTGCAGAATAATTATGGTTTTAGTATTTCTAATTTCCCTACTTTGATGTTTAAATTAAACAAAACTGTTATAGCTCGTCTTTAGTTGAGAGTTGATAACCATAACATGTATCTCTGGATATTAATATTGATGCTGGCACATACTCGTACATTAGACATATGCGAACAAAAATAAACAAGACTGATTTAATTACCAAACGCTGATCACTCCAGACTTCATTGTCATGTAGAAGTAACAAACGTTTTGCTAGCTTTTAAGCAGAGAAAACTTACTGAATGTATATACACTGTGTGCATGCTATATATGAACCAGTAAAGTGATAGTATGCACATTGTCATTTCAGTCATTATTTGGAAATATTTTAAAGGTTAACTTACAGCAAGAACACGATCATTGCTCATGAAAGTGAAATGCAAAATTGAAGAGGTTGTAATGTCATGTCCATTTATTTGTCACAAAAGTCATGAATACTAGTACATGTACATGTAATTAAAAATATCATCATTAGTATACTTTATCACTTGGGGTCCGTGTTTTATGCCCTGTTCACAAATGTGTACTGTTTAAAAGATTTTTGAGATCGAACAATGTTTGTTATCTTCACCTTTTTCATCATACATAAGTAAGCTTGGGCGAAGGGAACAAAATCCTTAATTTTTCTTTCAAACTGACCTCCTCTGGCCACATGAAATCAAAAAAAGGTTTCCAAACAATAAAACATTAGAAACTGCAAAAACGCAGAATTTCAATGTTATATACACCTTTCTTGTAAAATTCATAGAAATAGCGTCTTTGCATTAATATTTTTTATCAACGGGTTTAGTAGCCTTTTCTTTAATATCTGACCTTAAATCATCAGCTTTGCTGATATGTTAAAGATAGCTAATCAATAATAACTTAACATAGAATAATTTATTTTGATGAATTATAAAATTACAAAACATTGATCTTTGAGATGAAATATCTGACTATAATTATGACAAATTGTAAATGTCTGGTCTATGAAAATAATAAGATTATATATAGTAAAATATAATAATAAATACATGTATATATATGAAGTTAATGATAACTCCCTTTATTATCTTTTATAAAAAAAAAAAAACACACAGTCGTAAGAAGTTCAGAATATTTCTCCCATCACTCAGGAGAGTCTCCGTGGCTAGTTGACAAGAACCAGTGCAGTTTTGTTGGGAAGTAGTTAAATACAAAAGTGGGATTGAGCTGATTTTGTGAAAACCTCTGAGAGGAGAAAAGTGATACAACATCATCTGAGAAAGTACGGTTTCTGATTTACATGGAAGTAACGAAGTCCTTGCCCTTTACCACTACAGAGCAATGGGCTGCACAAATTTACTCTAATGATCCTGACTTTTTATAGCATCTGAATGATATATGAGATTATGAACCTCACTTAACTTAACAACTTTTCAATGTTAGAAAATTGTCTGTTTTTGCTACTGATACTGTCATTGGTCTTTGGAATCTTGAATCCCTGTAGCAAGCATATAAGGCCGAAAGGTTAAGCCATGCAATTAAACAATTGGTTCTTAATATAATTTGCAACTTTCAATGACTTTGACCTCAACCTTTGGATCCTGAAATCAATAAGTTTCTTGTAATTGTATCGCTAACCTGGCCCCAAGTTTGGGAGTTGAAAGTCAAATTATATATTGAGCATTTTGTATCCCTACGATGTTAATCCCACTGTGGGACGTGGAGAACGGTCCTTCAGATGAGACCGTATAAACCGAGGTCCCGTGTCGCAGTAGGTGCTGGCACGAAAAAGATCCCTCACTGCTCAATGACCGTAAGTGCCGAGTATAGGAGAAAATTTTCAGCTCTCCACCGGCAAATGGTGGCGTCTCCATATGAGTGAAAAATTCTCGAGAGGGACGTTAAACAACATACAAACAAAAAACAAACGATGTTAAGGAGTCATAACTACTTTGATAATATTGACTTTAGTGAAAATTTTAAGCCATGCCATTAAAAGCAGATGCTTCTTTTTTCTGAACATTTATTTATAGCAAGTATGAAATTTTGTTTATGCATTAGTTATGCTTATATTTATCTTTAATATTTTTATAATTAAATGAAAAGGCAACTTAGGTTACCCAGAACATCTGTATCATAAAACTGGTTTATTACGAACACGGATATAGCGAATTTACGGATATAACGAGGTTAAAAATAACGAAATCTTTTTAACGCCTTTTCAAAGAACTCAAAATTTAAATTATTGAGCTGACATTATTTTTTGCAAGTATTTATATTTGAAATTCAATCCAAAACGTTAGTTTCCCAAGGCAAGTTTTGTATGTAATACTTCCCACAATGTATCTATAAGTCATACTTGAAGGAAAACGTCTATATTGCGATTTTGCTATATATGCTCTAACGGATATAACGAATTACAGATATAGCGAAGTAATTTCGCAGGTCCTCTGGACTTTGCTAAAACCGAGTTTTACTGTAGTCTGTTTGAAAGTTTATGCTGTACAATCACACCGCCTTCACTGTCTTAGTTATTTTACCTTTATCTTTTTGTTTCAAATCAAGTTACATTTTGATTCACTTACAACTTTGTGTCTGGTATAGAAGACATGACAGGCAATTGCACGATTGGTCAGTTACTAACATTCCCCTTTTTTGCAAGGGGCTCATTAGGGTGTATTTTTGTAACAAAGTGTTGTCAAACTTGGTTTACGTTTCCTCCTATTATTGTTTAATTAACTATAAAGTGAAAAAAGGGGATAAAATCAGGTTAAGCTTCTATATTCTTATTCCTTTAGCATATTTCGAAGGTATTGCGTAAAACATTCCACAGAAATGTACAATGTTGATAAAATGGCGAAAACATACTTGCCTCACAGCACAGTAAGTATAAAAGTCATAGAGTACTCCAGTTAACGTGTTTTAATTAATCACCTATGTAGAAAGTATATAATACAGCATGTAGTGTATAAAAGCATATCATATTGACATTATGACAACCCTCATTTTTCTTTGACCTTTTTTCATCTACCAAAAGCTAAATGCCAAAAAAGGAATTCTTATTGTTGACTGAGTTTAATATTATCAGATAACAGTTAGTTATAGAGTTTTATGAAGAGACTTACTTTTATTTACATTTTAAAGGGACCAATTCCAAATATGAAAAATATGAAATGGGATGTTTGTTCAAAAAGCAAATTCATTAACATTCAATTAGTATTTTATTTTCGTTAAACTGGCAACTGTAAAGCTTTAAGCCTAATAATAAAATATTTTCAAATATTAGGATAACTTAACATCGTGTATTTAAAATAAGAGCTTGCTGTGGTGCGCTAATGAGAGAATTTTTTAGATCTATTTATGCATTTTCCAGCTGATCATTCTCTAAAGTTAAAATTCTGTTTGAAAAAATTCATTTAAGAAATGAATTTAATTTTTGAGAATTCATGAGGACATGAACTACGACGCTTCAAGCGTCTTCCCTTTTATCTCTTTTGTTACTTTTAAATGGTCCAGGATTTGCGATAAAGCTGTGTTCCTTTACTTTAATTTTTCTGATTTCGTCCCTGAATGTATGAATAAGTCCTTTTTAGAAAAAAATATTTTTTGGAATTTAAACATGTTTTTTAAAAAGAGTGGTACATGTAGTCATTATTGTATTGATATATATCAAATTTGCACCCCCATATTATCCGGTGCTTTCTTCTGTCTGTATCATCTCATTTCTTTTGCCATGGTGTTAATTTTCCCTAAAATGTAATATCGTAAAGCTTAAATAAATTACTTGTATATGATTTTCTGTATTCAAAATTTTATGAAATCCATATTTTGTTACTAAGATTGGAAAGGGAGCTTAATCTGATTTATAGTGCTTATGATTTCTGCATTATGGGTGCAAAATTAAAATATACCTTATAAGTGTGTTTTTGATGTTTTTTTCTGGCGCAGCCATCAATTTTGAAAACTTATTAGAAAGCCTGTTTTGAAGCTGCTTTTGACTACATTCAAGATACATTTTCCTTGCGTCGTCTGGAAGCAGATGGTTGTTCTCCTTCAAACTAAGAATTATCTTAGCCCAGGAACATGGATGGACTTGATAGGAACGAAGCATCATCAGCACTTCATCGTCAGACAATTTTATATGTTTTTTTCTTCCTCTGGGCGATTGTAATCATATTATCATCTATAATAAATTAAGAAAAAATGAATTTAATCATACTTTTGTATTTATGTGCTCTTTTATTTTGAAAACGAATGAATACAATTTTATTTATAAATATAGTTTAAGTAAGCACGTGACAAAGTTTAGAAAGTGCCTCGTTTTCTTAAACGGGGTTCTTGGTAAGTACTCGGTCTAACAGCTGTATAAAACTGATGAAAACAACGACTGGATAGTAAAACATGCGCTGCGAGTGATCAGCTGATTTAAATACACAATGTGAAGAAATGAATTTCGTAACATGAGTAAACACAGTCCGATTTATTCTTACGTCTCTTTCACGGATACAGCTTTCCATCATTGCTTAAAATATACAGTTCTGTATTGTTATACTTTGCTTCATGTTATGTAGTCAAAACATTTGTTAAAAAGTACTATTATCCTAAGGTGTACATAAGCTACGCCCTGTAGGTAACATTACATAGCAAGAGTTGCAATACCTGACGACGGGTAATAATTCAAAAATTGTTAACTGCTCAGAATGTTTGGTTGAACGTGACATTTCCCTTTAAATGCATTCTAAATACATTCAGTTTAACAAATATATATATATATATATATATATATATATATATATATATATATATATATATATATATATATATATATATATATATATATATATATATATTACATGTTTTAAAGGTAAAAATTTGTTATCCCGCGAAAACCATTCTTAACCAATGGCGTACAGTTTTGCTTATTTGCATACGAAACGCTCATCGAAAAAGTTTTCTGTATCATTTTTGTACTGTAGACTTCAAAGTAAAATAACTGAAGCTAGTAGCCATTAACAGCAGCCACTAAGCCCGTAGAAGCTGGCAGCCAATAAGGAAATTCATCAAAGAACTGAGAGTACTCTGACGCAATACTGTTTAATACCTCATTTTCGACAATTTGTAATTAAGAATAAGACAATTAATGCAACACTTAATTATTTGATAATCCAAACACTTGGAGGCAGTTAAGCTCACCTGCATAAGGGAAATTATGAAGTTTCAAAACAAACAAACAAACAAAAAAGAAAATGTCACCATTTTGACCGCTTAAGAACAAACCAACATCTTAAATAGGTTAAATACTCCCGGGAGAATCCTTTTTAAGCTCTTTTACGGGTCCCAGGAACATAATGGTGCCAAAAGGCTAACCTAAATTTGCTTACTCCTAATATTTACATTGATAAGGGTTTGAAGGTAATTAAATCTATTTTTAGTTATTATCCTTAAAGTGTGCTTCGAATAATTACTGGCACAAGATAAAGGGTCCACAGGGCTATTATATACGGCCAT